GTTTTCTGAAGAGTAAAAACTGTGATGTTTCCACAGATGTCTTCAGCTCTGCTCTTCATGTTGCTCCTCTCTGGACTGGGGATCGGAGGAAATGTAGGTTTGAAATAAGATTTCTGTTGTAAAAGACAAAAATTAGTTACTTACTTTTGTTGGTTTTACTTTTATGATCAAGTAAGAAAAAATTGGATCATTTTAAAATGTTTTAGATAAAATCAGTTAAAAAACTTAATTTCAATATAATTTTGTGCATGAGTCATTTTTCCTCCAAAACCTGTTTCTGACTAATATTTTATTTCTTTTACATCCACAGATATTTTCTGATGCACAAAGTTGGTACCTTTCTTTTTTCATTATTAATTTTTTGTCATCATATATTGTAGCAGACATCATGAGGGCCATTGTTGTTAGATTTAGACATTTTGTAYAAAAAAAAAAACTTGTGATAATGTCCTGTTCTGAAACAATGGGTCTCATGCAAGAACATGTTCGTATTCTTATAGTAAAATTTCTCTTACTATTGTTCGCACGAAGGGTTCGTACGAACATGTCACGTCAGATTGAACAAACTCTTCTATCTTCAGAAAAAGTGTGTAATCGAGCAGCGTAAACATGATGAATTCCACCTGTTTGTATCCAGCTGCTCGTGCACGCGGAGAGGAGATTATCATGATTACCACCTCAAAAGCACCATGTAAGGCTTTGTTTCCTGCCTCAGATATCAGGAAGTGTCCATTCATGAAAATGACAGTGAAAAGTAATAAGAAGAACTTTACGAGTTCGGAGATTGAAGTTCTGCTCTCAGAGATCGGGAAAAGAAAATGCCCCCTCATCCCAGCAGGTGTGCAGGATGAGGGACATTATTTGAATTGTAGTGAGCCTGAGGCTCAGAGATSTAAACAGCATCATTTGAGATATTGTGAGAGCGAGGTCTCTTCTTCAAAGAGGCAATTACTCATGATGCCTAGCGACCCCATAAGTAGGCTCTATAGCCTGGCCTCCGCCACTTTTTATCGCCATGTGTGATTGTCATCAAAGTTTTTAAAAGGGAGGGTCTCAGCCAACCCCTAAATCTAGCTCCAAAAATGTGGTGGGTGTCCTCTGAGCCTCAGGCTCACTACAATTCAAATAATGTCCCTCATCCTGCACACCTGCTGGGATGAGGGGGCATTATTTTTCATTTCAGAGATGTAAACAGCATGTTCAAAGCTGATGACAATCACACTGCTTGTGTGGACTATTCCACAGGATTCAACCACACAAACTCAATGGAGATGCATTCCAACAAAATTTATTTTCAGAAAGAAAATTAGAACATCTGAAATGACAACTCAAACTTCTATCCGAGAACTTAGTCCCTTCCCCGGACTCTCGGTAGTAAAACTTTTTAAACGTATTAACTGAAGTCCAATCTGCGGTCCGCAAAATCTGTTTCAGAGAAATGCCACTTTTAAATGCTGCTAAAACAGAAGCTCCTCTGTAAGAGTGGGGTCTATTCCTGCATTAATGAGCACTGTCCATAGCCATCTGGCTATAGTGCATGT